ATACAAAAGTGGTACATTTATACAAATCAGATGATCACACTCAGTAGATTATAAGCTTTGTAATGATACCTTACAAGAGACCTTTTGCGTGAGGCATATCCCAGTTACTTACATTCACTTATTACCGTATTTTCTCTAAAACTATCTCAGTTACATTATATTGACTTATTATCAAGTTTTTATAAAACCATATAGACTGCACAACGTCACAGCGCTAATTCAGGGAGAACAGGGGTTTAAAAAGCCAGCTTCTAAGCAACCAGAGGAGCAAGAGAACAAGAGCAGCAAACAGGGGAGTTTTGCCAGGGAGTTTAGAGAGGTAGCGTGAGAGCCAGATACACTTAATAAACATTCTCTAAACTTGAGCTGTTCCACATATTCATAAATGATCTAGAAAAGGGGGTAACCAGTAATGGTGGCAAAGTATGCAGATGATACAAAACTACTCAAGATAGTTAAGTCTAAATCTGACTGTGAAGAGTTACAAATTAATGGAGATGTCCTATCTCCTAGAACTGGAAGGGACCTTGAAAGGTCATCGAGTCCAGCCCCCTACCTTCACTAGCAAGACCAAGTACTGATTTTGCCCTAGATCCCTAAGTGGCCCCCTCAAGGATTGAACTCACAACCCTGAGTTTAGCAGGCCAATGCTCAAACCACAAATGGATCTCACACAACTGGGTGACTGGGCAACAAAATGGCAGATGAAATTCAATGTTGATAAATGCAAAGTAACGCACATTGGAAAACATAATCCCAACTATACATACAAAAAAGGTGATCAGGAACATACAAAAAGGTGGCATCTAAATTAGCTATTACCAGTCAAGGAAAAGACCTTGGAGTCCCTCTGGATAGTTCTCTGAAAACATCCACTCAATGTGCAGCAGCAGTCAAAAAAGCTAACAGAATATTAGGAATCAATAGGAAAGGGATAGATAATAAGACAGTACATTTTATAATCCCACTATATAAATCCCTGGTATGCCCACACCTTGAATACTGTTTACAGTTCTGCTCATCCCATCTGAAAAAAGATATATTAAAACTGGAAAAAGGTACAGAGAAGGGCTACAAAAATGATTAGGGTTATTGAACAGCTTCTATTGGAGGAGAGATTGAAAAGACTGGGATTGTTCATCTTGGAAAAGAGACAATTAAGGAGGATATAACAGGTCTATAAAATCATGAATGTTGTGGAGAAAGTGAATAGGGGAGTGTTATTTACCCCTTCACATGACACAAGAACCAGGGGTTACCCAATGAAATTAACAGACAGCAGGTTTAAAACAAACATAATGAAGTACTTCTTCACACAATGCATAGTCAACCTGTGGAACTCATTGCCAAGGGGACATTGTGAAGGCCAAAAGTATAACTGGGTTCAAAAAAAGAATTAGATAAATTCATGGAGGATAGGTAAATCAATGGCTATTAACCAAGATTGTCAGGGACTAAACCCCATGCTCTGGGTATCCATAAGCATTTGACTGCCAGGAGCTGGGATTGGATGACAGGGGATGGGTCACTCAGTAAATTGCCCTGTTCTGTTCATTCCCTCTGAAGCCTCTAGCACCAGCGACTGCCAGAACACAGGCTACTGGGCTCGATGGACCATTGGTCTAATCCAGTATGGCCATTCTTATGTTTTTATGTATTTTCTCTACCTGAATAGACTCATACACTGTAATCAAACCAACTCTTCATCTTATTTTTGATAAGCTAAACAGAGTGAGCTCTTTTAGTGTTGTGACACTGACAGGCCAGTTCAGGTCAGAGCAATAGATCAATTCACTTGTGTGTGACTATCAAAGAAATGTTAAGTGTACTAATTCACTCGAATGTTAATTTAGCTCAGAGGAAATGTAAATGATATTGTCTTCACTTATCTATAGGCATTACATTATGTATATTCCTGAACTTAATTAGCCCTAGATCAAAAGTGTGTGTTAGCACTAAGATGATAATTTACTTGATATGTAAACTGCCTGAAAACGAATAAAATGTTACTTGTATTGTTTTTTCTTATCTATTCCTATTATAATATAATGGCAGGCAATTGCATTATGCATATCACTGTAACTAAATTACTTGTGAATGCAAAGGAAGCAGAATACTAACTTCAAAGCAAGGATCATTGTCTTCAACAATGGAAATTCACAGATTCAGTCTGCAATTGCTACTCAACAAAACCCACGTGGGTGAGGACATTGTTCAGGTTGTCTTCTGTGAGCAGGATCTATAAATAGTGGTTTAAGGGAATGATCTTGCATCTCTGAACTGTTTGGACACTCATATGGGAATACTCCAGGTACACTCCTTTCCTTGAATTCCTTCACTGCTTTCTCTCTCCTGCATCAAAATCAAACTCCTCATTCTTACCTTCAAGCCTTTTTAAAACTTCATACCTGTTTAAACCCATATTCTTGTGCTCTGAGCTCTACTCTTTTTTCATTCAACTCCTAAGTTTAGAGTTGCTCCTAAATTCCTGCATTTTCCTCCTTCAGACTCACTTACTGCATAAATTGATCTTCTTACAAATAGTTTTTCTATGTGTATTGCATTTAAATTTTGAGAGTTTAACTTCAAGCATGCGGAGAAGGCATGCTGTATTTCTACACATTTCACAATGAGTAACACATATGGCACTTCATAAATATCATTACCACATTATTATGACTGGTATGCACATCAAAATAATACTGTTCATAAGCCCAGCTCAGCACTATAACTGTAGTAATAAAATACGTTTTAAAAGCACTTGTCACAAAAAAATCCCATTAAATAGTTTCTACATGGATAAGAATGGTCATTAAAATGATGCATTAATAGCTTTCTCTGATTCACAGTATTTTACAATATTTACAGTACAGTGTACTATACTAAGAAAGTCCATATGGAATTTCTAAAAAAGCGTTATGAGAAGGAAGGAGAGGACAGAAGCACTAAAGTAACAGAAAGTATAACTTACCAAATATGTTGGTGGAATGTCCTTTCCTGGCAATGGGTTTGAGTTCATTATGCCCCCATCCATATTGCCTGTAATTTTCCCAGGCATGTTTCATCATCTGAGGAAGGGAAATATTAGATTCAGTTAATATGGATTACTCAGACGATGCAGTTTTATAATCTAGTTCCTTATCTGAATATTTCTATGCCTCAAGCTCACCACAACATATTAATGATTATTCTGACTCTATTTCTATCAATTACAATTGGCAGACTCAGACGAACAGTCTTTGATCCAAAAACATCTCAAGAGTATCTAAAATACTCCAGTAAAGAGGAGTGATGCATTGTACATGCTACAGCAGTGTCAAAGGACATAAAACTGTGATTTTTTAACCAGGAGTTATTGAGAGCACAAATAGTAACTTAAGTCAATTTAATTTCAGTGGGAGCTATTAGGTGCTCAGCCTTTCTGAAATTCAGGCTGCTGATTTCGGCGCCTATATTTGGACTCAGGAGCCTAAGCACAACATTCATTTTTAAAAATCTTGGCCTAAATCTAACTTGCCTAAGCAATAATACGACAAGAATCTACAAATATCGGAAGGGTGTATACTTCTAGGAGAGCAAGGAGGAATTATTTAGGGCTTGCCAACAGAGCAAGTTACTATGTGGCAAAGCAGGGACACCTTGCCTACAGCACACCAGTTTGCCACGCAAAATGAGGGGAGGTTGCCACAAGTTCCAAAAGCTGGCTTCCCAGTAGGAAAACACTTGAGAAACACTGCTAGAAAATATTCTGTAGGGGACCACCCTGCATTGACCCATGGGAAGTGGATTAGATGATCTAATACTGTTGGACTTATCCATCTTTAGCTCCATGATACATATATTAAAAAACAGATGAATAATACACCAAAGGTGAAGAGAGAAGAGCTCCAGAAGGCCTGCCATTTCATTACAGTTCACAAATTTGTGTTAGACATTCTGGTAATTATTTGTAGAGCACTAATAGACCACAATGCTGCACAGTAGGTGAACTGTGTCAAACAAACAGCAGACCCATTTCCTAATAATAAAAATAATACTTAGCATTTATTTATACAGCACTTTACACATTCCAACTGACATAAATACACAACAGCCAATTAATAATCATAACATTTATATAAAGTAAGTTGGTAAGTAACACTATCCCTTTTTAAAGACAAGGAAACACAAAGAGTGAGTCAATGTGTAAATTTTTCTAACAACCCCTTTTAAAAGCATCAAGAAGCAACATACAAATGAACTCAGTTTTCTACACTCATGCATAAAATTGGTTTTATCTACTTAAGGTGGAACACACATCCTTTTTATTGTGTCCCTCTCTCTCTGTGGGTTTGTAATTCCTTCTTTAAATATTACTTGCTCTACCATTTAACAAAGAGTGAGCTTTGTTTTCACATGGGTTGGGAATTTCTAAAGTGTCTAAGTAACTCAGGAATTATTTAACAGACATTTTCAAAAATCTCACCCATAATATATAGCAATAAACACTCTTATTAATTATTTATATTGTGGTAGCACATAGGGGCTCCAGTCATGGATTGGGGCCCTCTGTATTGAGCATCAAGTATGTCTGTTTCCTTTACTTTCCTGGGAGGGTGGGTAGTGGAGTAACCAGAGGAACACACATCTCAAAGAACCACAGTTACTGCACAAGGTGAGTAACTCTTTCTTCCTCTTCAAGTAGCACCCCTGTAGATCAGGGGTGGGCAAACTTTTTGTACGGCGGGCCATGAATGTTCACAAAATTGGGGTTGGGGTACAGGAGGGGGTGAGGGTTCTGGCTGGAGGTGCAGGCTCTGGGTTGGGGCTGGGAATGAGGGATTTGGGGTGTAAGAGGATGCTCCAGGCTGGGACCGAGGGGTCCTCCTGAACCAGCCCTGAAAGCAGCGGAGGTGTAATCTTGTGTGCTCAGTCATGAATATGCAAGCTGTTATATGACTGTCATAAATATAAAGGGAAGGGTAACAACCTTTATGTATGCAGTAAAATCAAATCCCTCCTGGCCAGAGGTACAGAATCGCTTACCTGTAAGGGGTTAATCAGTTCAATTAATCAAGTTGGCACCTGACCAGAAGGACCAATGAGGAAAGAAGATACTTTCAAATCAGGGAGGGGGAGAGGGGGAAGCTTTTGTTTGTGCTCTTTGTTTTTGTTCCCTCTCGGGACAAAGAAGAGACCAAGGAGGTAACCCAGCTCCTACTGAAATTATACATCTAAAATTACAAAAATTGTAAGTAATAGCAAGGAAATGTGTTAGATTATCTTTTGTTTTAGCTTGTGAATTTTCACTATGCTAAGAGGGAGGTTTATTCCTGTTTTGTAACTTTGAAGTTGAGCCTAGAGGGGAATCCTCTATGTTTTAAATCTTTTTATTACACTGTAAAATTACCTTCCATCCTGATTTTACAGAGGTGCTTGGGGGGATATTTTGGGGGAGGGAGGATAGGATTCCAAGTGGCCCCTCCCTGAATGTCTGTTTAAATCACTGGGTGGTGGCAGCAATACCATCCAAGGACAAGGAAAGGAATTTGTGCCTGGGGGAAGTTTTTAACCTAAGCTGGTGGAATATAAGCTTAGGGGATCTTTCATGTGGGTTCCCACATCTGTACTCCAGAGTTCAGAGTGAGGAGGGAACCCTGACAATGACCCAGGAGCTACAAACAGTTCCTTATTTCCTTGAATTGTCTTGACCAGATTTGACAGAGTAACGAATCTCTCTGTGGGAAGGAAGGCCCTGGCTGCCAACAAATCCAAATATGCCCCTATGACCTGTACTCTCTGTACAGGGGCTAATTTGGACTTATTTATGTTTAGCTAGAGACCCAACTTAAAATACTACAGTTACCAACAGACTGAAACTATGGGTCAGAACTGAGACTATGTAATTTATTTCAAATCCTAGTCAACATCTAACATTCTAATTGCTACATATTGCAATGATTAATGTCTGTCTAGTTTGAAATGTAGATCTGATCATATATTTAAAATAGCTCTAGTCCCATCCTACACTGTTGCTTGCTCACGGTGATGATGTCCATGAAAACATTTTGTTCCTCGTCCTCCTTCAAGACAGTAGAGAGGAGCTTAATGAACTCCTTTCAGCTGCAAGATCTGGAGTACCCTTTGCAGCATATAGGTGAAATTACTTGTTTTGTTTTGACTAAGATCAGTGTAGAAACTCCATACTCTGTTATTGAAGTGCTAATAGAACTATGAGAACACCTTTTCCACCAAGAAATGTGTTGCTCATATCTATTCCAGTTAGGTGTGTGCGCACGTCGTGTGCATGACTGTGGGAAAACTTTTCCCTAGCAGCTACCCGTCAGGCCGGCTGTGGAGCCCCTTGGAGTGGCGCCGGGTATGGCGCTCTGTATATGACCCAGCCGGCCTGACCCCCATTCAGTTCCTTCTTGCCGGCTACTCCAACAGAGGGGAAGGTGGGAAGAATGGACTAGATATGAGCAACACATCTCGAAGAACAACAGTTATAAAAAGAGTGAGTAACCATTTTCTCTTCTTCGAGTGCTTGCTCATATCAATTCCAGTTAGCTGACTTCCAAGCCTTACCTCAGAGGTGGGGTCAGAGTCAAGGTATTGCTAACCAAAGTACCGTTCTGCCAAAGACCACATCCTACCTAGATTGGTGTAGTGTGACATTGAAAGTATGCACTGAAGACCACGTTGCAGCTCTGCAGATCTCCTGGAGAGGTACATGGGCCAGCAAGGCTGTCGACAAGGCCTGTGCCTTCGTGGAGTGAGCAGTGATAGCAGGCAGAGGAACCTTCATCAAGTCATAACAAGCGCAGATACACGCCGTAATCCAGGAGAAGATCCGCTGGGAAGAGACTGGCAAACCTTTCATCCACTCCACTATTGCAATGAACAACTGGGTTGTCTTGCGGAATGGCTTCGTACGATCGATATAAAAAGCAAGTGCCCTCCTGACATCCAGCAAATGCAGCTGTTGTTCGCTAGGGCTGTTGTGTGGTTTTGGATAGAAGACTGGCAGGAAGATGTCCTGGCTAACATGGAAATGGGACACCACCTTGGGAAGGAAAGTCAGATGAGGTCTAAATTGCACCTTGTCTTTATGAAAGATAGTGTACGGAGGCTCAGAGGTGAGGGCCCGCAGTTCAGAAACGCGTCGTGCTGATGTGAAGGCAATCTTCCAAGAGATGTAAAGGAGTGAACAAGGGCTCGAAGGGAGGGCCCATGAGGCGGGAGAGGACTAGGTTGAGATCCCAGGCCGGAATAGGGGGCTTCATCGGGGGATGTATCTTTTCCAGACCTTTCAGGAAACAAAACCACAATGGGGTGCATGAACACCGAACGCTTGGAATCGCCCAGGTAAAACGCCGAAATAGCCGCGAGATGGACTTTGAGAGAACCAAATGCCAGAGGCTGGTCTTTCAGGTACAGAAGATAGCCCAAGACACCAGGGATGGGAGCCTGGAGTGGAAGTACCTGCCTTTGGGCGCACCAGCTAGAGAACCTCTACCACTTCGCCCTGTATGTGGCTCATGTAGATGGCTTGCGGCTCTCCAGAAGCACCTGTCTCACCGGGTCGGAACAGGCGAGCTCTGCCTGGTTCAGCCACAGATTCTCCAGGCCATGAGGTGGAGAGACTGAAGGTCTGGGTGAAGGACTTGACCGTGGTTCTGTGAAATGAGGTCAGGGTGACAGGTAGCCATATCGGTGACTGGACCGATAAGTCCACGAGGGTGGAGTAGCAGCACTGGCAAGGTCAAGCTGCGGCCACCAGTATGATGTCTGCCTTGTCCCTGCGGACTTTGAGAAGCACTTTGTGAATGAGCGGGAAGGTGTATAGCAGCTGACCTGACCATGGAATCATGAACGCATCTGCGATCAAGCCTGGACTGTGGCTACTGAAGGAGCCAAAGGTTGGGCACTTCCTGTTGTCCAATGTGGCAATCAGGTCGATTCGGGGAGACCCCCAGCTGCGGAAGATGGAGTGGATGATGTCCGGGTGAATCGACCACTCATGCATGAGGAAATGTCTGCTAAAGCTGTCCGCCAGCACGTTCTGAACGCCCGGTACGTATGAGAC